TTCAGCAGGGAGTGCCTGTGGTATCAGCAAGTTGCACCTCTGGAAGCTCTTTTCCTTGGACATACTGAATGAATACTTGGAGCGAGACCCAACTCCCAGTGAGCTCACCTACAGAGTTCCCACAAGGCACAGGTGAGATGAGGAAATAGCTCGGAGGATCTTTCAGTCCCTTGCATGAGCCAGAGATGCTGTGGCCATTGGCTTTTGTTGCAGCTCACTGCTGCGTGGCACTCTGTTACTCCATCCTAGCCACTGCAGGCAGTTGCTCATCTCCGCTTCTCTGTTCCCTCTTCCTTGAGAGGAGCCACAGAAACAAAGAATAATTTAATTGCAATGGACCTCTAAAAGCCTTTGGTCTAACCCCTTGCTCAAAGCAGTGACAACTAGATCAGGTTGCTCAGGCCCTTGTCCAGTTCAATGCTGAATATCTCCAAGGATGAAGAAACCACAGCTTGTCTGGGTGCCTGATTCCAGTATTTGACCACTTTCATGGTAAAAACTTTTTTCCTAGTATCTGATCAGAGTATTTTGTGTTGCAACTTGTACAGTTGCTGTTCCTGAGCCCTTGCTTCATAAAGCTGAGCAAACCCAGGTCTCTTAGTCGCTCCTTGTAAGTAATGTGCTCCAGCCCTCAACCATCCAGATGGCCCTCCGCTGGACCTGCACCAGTATGTCAGTGACTTCCTTGTACTGGGGAGCTGAAAAGAAGCCTCCACTAAGCAGGACTCTCTCATGCCACTCACTCTCATTAGGCATATATAAAAGATTTTTTTGAGAAAATAAAATGGCCTGCCTTATGTCCAGTATCCTTTCTCCCAAAAGGGCCAAGAACATAACATCAGAGAAGAAGTATACGGAAGAGAGCCACTGTAGAATGACCCTTTCCCCTGTCATGCCGTGCCAACCATTCCTCCTGTCTCAACTTAATCTCTTCTTCCTCTCCTGTGACCAGCACACGCTTGATCCCTCCAGTGTACACCCCTCTCCTGCTGGATTTCAACTTTGGGGCTGCCCCGATAGGCTCAGAGCCGACCCTTGTGATGCTCCTGCTGGAGAACAAGGGTGTGGTGCCTGTGGAGTGGTAAGCAGTGCTTGCTGGAGCTCAGCCTTCTTTCTGGGGTCTGTCTGGGGGTATGGAAGTGCTCACAGGGGCCGTGAGATGCTTGCAGTTTAGTAGGGTGAATTTTGTAGGTGCGCCTTGTGCTGTGGAGCTGCAGCTGAGATCTGTTGGTGGGTCTGGGTGGGGCAGCAAGCAAGGAATAACAGAGAGTTCTGCAGGTCAGACTTGATGAAATGTGCTGTGTCCACCAGCTGGGCTAAGCTAAATATGCTGACTATGGCCTTGGGGAAGTTATGTGGCCTTGGGGAAGTTGTGTGTCCCTGATGCTGATCAGCTGACTGGTTCCCTAGGGCCTTCTTGTTTCCTTCTGATCAGAAGATGGACATGGAGCACTGGGCAGAGGATGCTGAGTTTAGCCCCCATGAGCTGCACCAGATGAGAATTCAGGACAACCAGCTCTTCAGTGTTTCTCCAAAGTCAGGGAAACTTCTTCCAGGCCAGGAGGAATCTGTCCAGCTCTCACACAGGTGATGGCAGCTATCTGGACTTCAGAGCCTCATGCTGCATACCAGGACAGCACATGCCCTCAGAGTCCCCGGTGTTTCATGATGAATCCTTTCCCTTCACATGACCCTTGCCCAGCAGAGAGTGGGCAAGTAAAAAGCCCCTGAGCGTGTCCAGTTTCTGGACCCCACAAGGCTTCTTTTCCTCAAGGGAATGTCCTTTAACACTGCAGTGCAAAAGGCATTTAGTGTGACATGCTGGGGACACTGGTCTGCCTTGACCTGACAGTTGAGGAGATGAACAAGATGCTGCACTTCCTGTGGTTTTGATTATACAGCGATATTATTTTTGTCACAAGCTAGAGCTGCTAGCCCTTGTGTGCCTGTGGAGGGTATGAAGAAAGCTGAACACTCCCCCTTTCACAGAAGACCTGGTCTGAGAAGTACTGGTGTTTCAAATGTTGTTGGCCTAGGAACTTGAGTCCCTAAATTGGTGTACGACTAAAATCAACATTGCATCACTCATTCCCACCCAAACACAACTGTCCCCCTCCCTCTTTCAGTGGCCCTTACGCAACAGTGACTCTTTAGCTGGGAAGTGAATTGTCTCTAATGTACTGTGTGACCCTGATTCTATCACCCTGGGCACAAGGTTGATTTCTAATGTTTTCCTCTCTCTCTTCTTTCACTGCTAGACATGAATTCGCTGGCACTGATAACCTTCCTGTCCTGCTTTTGGCCATGAGATTCTGGTAAGGTAGCAGGTGTCTCTGGCTTCTGTTTGCAGAACAGCAGCAGGCAGGAACTGAATTAAAAAATGTTTTCCCCAGAAGCTGCATGGCATGCAGGGGGCTGTGGCCTTCCCCTGGAATTTGCACTGGCCGGGCAGTAACACAGGGCCAAGTGGAGACAAAAGAACAATATGTGGACAAACTCGTGGTTCCAGCACAGCGTGATGTGCCAGTGCACTGGCAAAATGGCCCTTGGATGCAGCATCTGCTGGTTTCCCCAGCAAGAGAACTTTTGTTTGTTTATTTATTTATTATTAACCTTTTGTATTTTATTGGTGGTGTTACTGCAGAATTGCTTTCTGCTCCAAGCCAAGTCCAAGTCCAAAACAGCCCTTCTGGTTTTATAGTCTCTGCATGCTTCCTACATTCAAGTGTAACTCATGGACAGGATTTCTGTGCTTGCTTACTCTCATTTCATCTGCCTCACTGCGAGTTCTCCCATGCAGTGATCCTGGAGTTCAGATCTACAGCCCATCCTACTTTTCTCATAAGCAGCCTTCCTGAATCTCTCCATTTCATCAGCTCTCTATGCTCTTCAAAACTCCCTGGAATGTGCTACTCTCCAAAAGTACCACCTGCACTGGCTGCAGTTTGGAGACACACATGCTGGCACAGGGTGGCAGAGCGTCCTCTGGCTCTGAGGGTATGGAGGCAGCTGCTTCCCCAGGCCCAGAAGGTATTCCTTGCCTTCCTGGTTGGCTGCTAGTGCTGCAGCCCTGATGCCTTTGTCCACCCACCTATTTCTCCTGCCAGTGATGGAGGAGCCTCCTACTCATTCTTCCTGCTTCTTTCCTTGCTGAAGCATCCCAGAGCTGATCTGCGGTGTGTTTTCCCTCAGCATTTCCTCAGGCTTGGAACTAATTTCTCTCTCTCTCCCTCTCTTAAACTGTCAGTTAGAGTCAAATTCACCTTGTGCTCTGCCGGGCACAGCTCATGCCCGGCTGAGCCTTCCTGTCTGTCTCTGAAGTTTCCTATGAGACCATTGTGTTCACACATCTCTTTTATTTTTCTTTTCTTTCAGGACTGTTGTCAGCTGAAAATCCAACCCTTTGACCAAGCTGTTCAAACAGTGGCTTAACTGTGCCTTCCCTCAAAGCCCTTGGACAGGCTCCCTGTGCTCTGCCTGCCTGGCACAATCCTGAGAGTGGCTATGAGCATTTCACCAGCTGACCAGTGAGGGAATAGGCTGTGGAGCACAAGAAGCCCGTAGGGCACACATCCTCTCTTGCCACATAGCCAGTGGCTCTAGTGGCTACCAGAGACCACCACCCTAGTTCACGCTGTCACTGCAGAAGGGGCTGAAAAAGCATGGGAGGCCCTGGGGATGATAAAAGATCCTTGGGTGCATTGGAGCTCTGGCAGCAGAAGCTGCAGAGGCCAATCCAGAGACCTGCAGCAGTGCAGGTGGTTGCATCCTGCAGGGATGGACAGTGCCAGTAACTGCTGATATCAGAACGTAGGAGTGGAAGAGGCTTCTCCTTCTGCAGAGAGGGCAGCTGAGGAGCTGAACCCAGTATGCATTCTTTCCTTTCGGTCATGGCACGAAGAGCACAGAGCTGTCAACCGTCGTGGCAGAAACTGCCCTAAGCGTGCTCACGTGCCAGGGCTGAGCAGATCCTCACCTGGGAATCTGGTGAAACGTACAGAACATACGCTAACCTTAAGAGAAGTAAATGCCCTACTCTCACCCCGAATGTTAAGCTTCGGAAACCTGAGAAAGCAACAATAAGCAGAGGTAGAGACCATCGGGCTCGGGTATTTCTTGGTCGTTCTGTCATATTCCAAATTGCCCACCTTTCGAGCAGTGATGTTAACCAGCTGCAAGCCAATGCCTGATTTCTTGGGGAGTCCAAATTCACCTCAGTGATGGCTCTACCCATGTGGACAGATTTTGACCTCCCACTCCTCTGCTTTCCCAACAGAGCCCATCTACTTCATCTTCAGGAGGAGCTCCTTCCCCATTGCTCTTTCCCCACCCAGTGGCCAACTTTCAGTCCTGTGATGACTGGAGTTATAGATGCAACTGATTTCCCGTTGACAATTTCTTCTGGCTGCAGGATGAAACTTCTGTGGGACTTGTGTGTTACCCAATTCCTTGTGCAGTAGGGAAACAGGGCCTCCCGCTGCCTAATGTTCTCACAGGTTGTCCTTTGCCTCATCACCATAGCCTGCCTGTAAGAGCACAGCTGTGACCTTGTTCTCAGAGCTCTGGGATAGTTTGGCCAGGCGGAATCTGCAGCCCTCAGCAGCTTTAGTTGGGAAAGCCCAGCCAGCTGCAGGTGTTGCAGGATGAGGTAGGCTGGTTCCCAGAAATCACTGGAGAGAAGGGCTGGATCCCAGGGAGAATCCCTGAGCACACAGAATCTATGTGCACTTTGCTTCATAGCTGCTAATGAGGTATTGTGAGATATTGTCACCTGCAGCACATGTTCTCCAGGCAGCTCTCCTCCCTGGGGAATCTGGCATCCCTCATGCTCTAAGTCATCGCTGTGGGACAAAGTCTGTGTACTCTGGAAAGAGAACTGGTTGCAGCAGGTCTTTGCTTTTCTCCCTTTGTCTCTCTTTAACTGATAGTCCTCTAAATGTCACATTCTGTGTCTATAGAAACTGATGACAGTTCTTCCTATGCAGTTGTGGTCTGGTGGAACCCAAGTTGGCTTTTTGACTCAAGTAATATAAATGGCTGTTTCACTCCCAAAGCTCAGGAAGGTTCTTGTCCCTTTTTCCGTTGCAGTTTGAAATTGCCAGCTTTTGTCCTCCTATTTGCACTTCATCTGGCTTGCTGAGGCCCTCAGGAGGCTGATGGTCATGCAGTGCTTTGACAAGATCCCATGTGGGACCTTGTTAGTATTGTATTTTTAGACCTCTCTCCCTCCTCAGTTTGCTTATGGAGCTGAACTGGAATGGGTTGTTTTGGAGGAATCGGCATTCTCTTCCCTTTTATAAGCAGTGATACAGTATCTCCTGCAGGTGTCTATCCAAGGCATACACCTGCCATCGCGAACATCCTCTCCATCTTCTGCGTATGCACTTGAAAAATAGCCATGCTTTAGGCTTAGCTAATTGCGAATTGCAGTGGCCAAACTCCCTTTGGTTGGCCCATGCAGAGACATTACTAGCTCTGTGACAGCTTTCCAGCCTCCACCTCAAGGCAGACAGCTCAGGGGTGCTTTGGGGTGATCCTGCAGGAAATTGTGCATCATGACTCATCTCCAGCCTGATTGCAGTTTTCCCAAAATGCAGAATCCTGTGTTTCTTCCTTTCCATGAAACAGCTCTATAAATCTCTCTGCTTTGCTTGAAGTGCCTGGCAGTTGTTTCTCTAGCAGGATACTGTTGATCATTACTTGATCGCTTAAAATTCAGCTGGGACCTTCTTGCAGCTTTTGAACTGTTAGACATGTTCTTGGTGCAGACTGTCCTCCAGAGTGAGGACATCCAGATGGTCCTTTCCAAGCGGAGGCCGTTACTTATCTAAAACCCTGTCTTTCCAAAGGATTTGGCTGTCACAGCTGCACACTCCCCTACGTACAGTCCAGACACTTTCATTCATGGAGAATTGCTACCGTATACTTGCAAAGAGGAGCACTGAGGCTGGTGCCTGACACAGCAGAGAGAAAGGTACCTTCTCTCTGAAAAAAGATGCAAACCTTTCAGAGAAGAGCCAGCAGCTGAGTAGGCTCTCCATCTCCTTGCTTTTGTTCTTAGGACACACTGTCCTGGTATTACCAACTGAAATATCTGTAACTGTGTCGCCTTCAGCTTGCAAATTCCTTCAGGGTCCTCTTGCAGTTGTTAGTGATGGGGCCAAGGCCCTGTGAGAAAATGACTGTGTTTCTTTCCACTGTAGCTGAACTTCAGCGGCGTGACGGTGGAACAGGACCAGCGGTACGTTCATTTTGCATCCACTAAGCACCTCTTCACACCCATTGCCATTGGGGCCTCCCACCCCCCCACACAGGTGAGCATCCTGGGGCGAAACCCAGCAGCAAGTGGAGGGAAGGAGCTGCTGTTACTGTGCCCCAAGGACAGGCAATATCGGAGGCATTTCCCAGGAAACAGAATGGCCTCCACAGGAAAGCATCACAGCAGAACTTTGAGACTAGTACTAGGCAGAGCCTGGAAATGGCTGCTGGGGTGGCAGCAGGGAAAGCACCTCTCACCATCTCTAGTTTGACAAGATTCGGCTGTCACTCTAGCCAGAATGATTACGAGGTGTGTTGGGCTGTTCCCTTATTCTCTTGCATTGGATCTGAGTGAAAACTTGCCTAGCTGCTCCAGGCACTCTGGAAATAAATCCTAATTAGTTTTTTAGGAAATTAATTAAACTTTCTTAAAGACTTATTCAGCAAAAAGGCAGCTTTGATTCTGTTCTGCCTAATTTACTTGGGAAATGAACAAGTCTGAATTGAATTAAGATCACTTTAATACGAGTGTTTTTGCATTTCAAGTAATCAGCTTTACAGTGATCCCTTTAGCTAATTTGTATTAATTTTCTCCTAGACTGAATTTGCAGGGCACCACTTGGAGAGGCACTGTAGTTATCATTGTACACGTATGGTGATAAACCTTCAGCACAGTGTCCTATCAGAGCCTCAGTGATAAATCTTGACACTATGAGGTCTCCTCATTCTTAGGAGAAAAGCTGACTAATTAATTATTAATGCTTATCAGAGTCCTCTGGGGAAGTGTTAACTAGTTTAACTTGTGCATGGTATAATAAGCACCATGCTCTCTGACTCACTTCAGATTTATGAACTCTACAATGGTGGCTCCCTGCCTGTGATGTTTGAGGTTCAGTTGGACAACATTGTGAAGATCCAGGAGGAAAATTTTCAGCATGCTGTGTTTGTCTGCCTAACTCCTAGAGGAGAAATCCCCCCTGGCACAACAGGCCGCATTGAGTGGATCTTCTCACCACTGGAAGCTAAAACGTACTTGGTAAGACCTTCCTCATGACTGCCAGAAACCATTTCTTTCTGTTGTTGTGTGCCTAAAATTCTTTAGATCTCTTACCGATGGTTGGTCCATGTCATGCTACAGTTGAATTGAGCTCCGTTCCTCCAAGAAGCAAAGAGTCTTGATAGCACATGAGTGGCTGCTCTGGTCAGGAAACGGAGCAGATAAATTGTTATATCTCACAAGTTTCATCTTCCCAAAGAACAGATTTCTTCCACAGCCAGAGTCATCCTAGTACATATTTTTCAAGGATCAAACAGTGACTGGGGATATCAACAGTATCTGATCACATTTTTTGTTCATTGTTGGCCTCCAACAACTCCCACCAAAGAGACTGAAGTTGGTGTCTTTTATCATCGCAGCGTATGCTGCTGCAGACCTCTGGAAACAGCCTTCCCAAAGACCTCTGTCCTAGGCTGCAGGAGGCAGGCAGGGCCAGAGCTGGACCACTGTTTATTGCCCCACTCTGTGCTGGATGTGTGGAAAAATAAATAAATTTAATTTTAAAACTCCCAATTTTTGCTCCAAGAGAGTGTCCTTGCCCATTTCATACAGTAATTGGCTACTTTTCTGGGTTAGCAGGGAAGGTCAAGGTCTGAATGAGTAAAAGACACCAGATTTCTCTTTGTTCATGCATGTGGCGTATTTAGACTTATACTAGCTTATTGCACATCTCTCTCAAATATGACTCTGGACTTAAAACTCCTATCTTGCCCAAGGCAGGTTGATGTTCCCATCCACGTCCTGGAGGGTGAATCAGCTCTGATCACCTTTCAGGGAGTAGGCTACCATCCGAATACCATAGGAGAGACTGCCACATCCAGTGAAGTTTTGTCTCCTTCAGTCTTTCCAGGTTCTACCAAGCTAACTGTGCCTGGGCAGGTAAGTCCAGATATGCTGATATGAGCAGTATGATCAATCCAGAAATGTGTGAGTGACTGAAATAAGCAAGTGCCCCCATCTAGCAGTAGCCTCTGTTGCAGGAGAGTTCATTTGCCATGAGATAGAGCAAGATATTTCCCTTCCAGCAGATCATCTAGAGCCTAACTCATAAAAGCAGTTGTTCTGAAAGGTGCCTGCCTTCCAGCTTGCTGGTTCCACTGCCATTAGAACCAATAAGGCTTTAGGGTTCATTCATGTTCTGAATTTTCTATTAAAAGCTACCCCCCACCACAGCTACCTTTCTCGTTTGCAGCTCCACCACCTTTTTCTTTGGTAATTCATTCTCAGAAAGAGCGTTATACTCCTGACATAGCCTGTCAGGGCTTGGATGCCACCATTTCACAGCCAAACTCAGCTGATTCATAACCTGAACGCAGACTGCAGGATGGTCACTAATTCAGGCACATCCCGAGGAATGCACTTGTTTGACCTGTCGCTGGCTCAGCAGGAGCTTGTCTGGCCTGGCTAGAGCTGGCCCGCCAGCCTGGGCAATCTGTTGTTAAACTCAGCCACAGATCCCAGTGTAGTGAATCAGCATTAAACAGTATCAGCAGAAGCATACTCTAGGCAGGTAAAGGATTCATCCTGTGTGGTGTTAGCATGCCTGCCTTGGAGCCCAGCCACAGCTACATATGCTCTTTGGCTTCCAGCAAGGCAATTGCGTTCCTGGGTACAGCAAAGAGAAAATTACTAAAAATCTGTCTCAGGCTGCTAACGAACGTGCCATTCCACAAGGCTCTGTTGTCTGTAACCAAGAGTCATTAGCTTCTCTAATGACCAGCGTAATTAATTAGAGTTTGCAGTGTGCCTGGAGAATGGGACAGACTAGTTAACATACTAGTAGCAAGGTGTGGTAGGGAGCAGTTTCCCAAAACTCGCATTCAGGTTGATGAGGATTTTGCACAAGTACAGACCTCATGTGTTTGCCAACCAAAGTAGGAAAAGGGCTGGATTGCAAGTGCTGCGGAGAGAACCCGGGTGCTACTGGTCCTCTGTGCTCCTGAGATCCTCTCCAGCCCCAGCACCAGCGTTACGTTCTATTCATTGCTCACTCCATCCCACTGTGACAGGGGTTGTCCTCTTGCTGTAAAGAGTCGTAACCAGAGCAAAATTGAGAGAAACATAACACTCCCTCAAGTTGTTATATTAAAGGTAATATTATCTATGAATTGCTGGATAACTTAAAGATGACAGTGTGACTGTCCTTCTCCAATGGCCACATCCCATCTTCCTTCCCTGCTGTTCCTCCTGGTTTCACCTTGCTTCCTGCAGGCAGCTACCTTGTCACACCACAGGATTTGCCTTGGAAATATCCCAGATTGCACCAAAGCCAGTCGCCTTGTCTTTCTCAACAATATCTTGGAGACCAAGGCTGTGGTGTTTGCTTGGCGGATAAGCACCTGTGAAGACAAGAGGGTGAGTCTTTCCTCTGAAGCCTTCTTGCCCATCTCTGTTGTGCCACGAAAGGACTTTACAACTCCATTTTCAACCAGAAACTCAGAAATGGTCCTAGGGAATTGGCTTTTGTACTAGCTGATGAAAAGAAAGGGCAGAGAAAAGTGAAGGCAAGGGTTAGTATAGGGGAGAAAAGACAGGAATTCAGAAGGCGATTCTGAAGGCTTCAGTGAGGATACATGAACCTGGAACTACAGGATGCAATAATGAACCTTAGGATGCTGTCTACCAGTAAAGTCCATGGTTGTTCTTTGGATATATCCACTGCATGTCTGTCATATCACATACCTCCGAGAAGGGGAGGGGAGGGAATTCCCACAATCCTGTGTTTCCTGCAAAGATAAGGCACATAAGGAGTTCCCAGGACAGTGAAACAGCTCCTCTGTGGCTTGGCTTTGGTTTTTTTTCCAGGTGTTGCAGGTTGCTCCAGAGTCAGGAGTTGTGCAGCCTGGGGAGAGCATCCCCTGCTTCATCACACTGCGACCTTCCAGGAGTGCTTCTTTCTGCAGCATAGATCTGGTGTGTGAGGTGAGACCCAAGAGGTACCTGTGTATTACCATCACTTGGGCATGTCACTGCAGTTCTCAAACGGCTGGCTCCAGCAGTCAGCTACCTGCTGCTTCCAGATGAAGGAATCCTTCTTTGCTCCATAATGTTGGCCAGCACTTATTCCTGAAGATACTGAGCTGCATCTCTTCTGACGCTTTAAGTGTCTCTGTGTGGCTTATTAGATGAGGTGTAATTATGCAACATGTGGCTTTGTGAGTTGAATCCAGCTACTAGAAGTTACAATTTGAATGGCAGTGGCTTTCAGTGAACATCAGAGACTTAAATATCTGTAAAATAGCAAGTCTTGCTTCTTTAATATTAGTGGGGGCACAGACTTGCAGTAGTGTCCCTCTGGACACTTTCCAGGTGTCCTTTGGCAAGAGATTGTGTCTTCTCTGTATAACTCTTATAACAGCACTGTTCTCTCCCCTTCCTGCCACTGGAAGACATGGAAAGGGAGTGGGTTTCTGGCTGGGACCTCCTGGAAGGGAGGAATTGGTGACAGGCATGGACTTGAGCCAGAGTGTGTGTAACTTGCAGCTCCTTTCTAGCCCTGCTCCCTTCAGTCATGGTTTGCTTCACAGGTATACATCCAGGAGTCCCTGGTTGAGTACCAGAAGGATCTGCAGGAGTGGGAAAAGGAGCAGGAACGGCAGGCTGTGGAATTCACCATCACAGAGAAGGACCTTGGGACTAAGAAGAAGCCAAAGTCATCTGCAGGCATAAGTGCTGCCAGAACTTTACACGAGGTTAGCTCAGCTCAGAAAGAGCAGCCAGGGTCAACAAGAAATGTTCTTTAAGAAAATCTAGGCAAGTTGGTATGAGGGCATGAGGCTCTGATCTACTCAAGATCTCATAGCTGGTCTACAGATAGTGGAAAATGAGGTCTTGGTTTCTAGTCAAGAATCACCTTACAAACGCTGAAATTGCTAATGACCATCTGAAATTTGGAAGCGCAGGAGAAGCCTTAGAAAAAACAAAGCCAGTGGCTCTAGAAATCAATGGTTTGATTTTTAACCATGAATAAGCACTGGAGAGAAATGTGTTACTACCAGTAAGAATGTGGCCTGAGTGAAGAACAGGAGGATGAGATCATTGACTCTCAGCTGGGACAAAGTAAAACAAAATCCTGGAGTCTTGTTCTGCTCTATATCTTTCCTACATGGCAATTTGGCAATTTCTCTTACTTTCCCCAACCCCCCCCCCCCTTTCTTTTCAGAGGTCATCAAATTCTGCTGAGATAGAAAATGTTCCCGAATCCTCAGCTGTGATCAGGAAATACAAGGTAAGTCGGGCCTGTCTCACCCATAGTAGAATCAAACTGACTGCTTTAGAAAAGAGGCAGATGCTGGATATCACAGCGTGGGAGCCTGGACAGAGAGCACAGCAGGATTTGTAGCTTCAAGGCTTTAGGAGACAGACTGTTTGGAGGAGCTACAAGAATCAGACTGTCTGGCTGTGTCCTGTGGGCAGTAACTTTCCAGCTGAGGTGAACGGAAAGTGAAATTGGAACCAAATGTCTACCCATGACTGGAGAAAGGGGGAAAGGTTTTGAATAAACAGAAAAGATGCACATGAGCGGGGCAGTTAGTACCTGGACTGGTTTCACACTGGGGCCACAATGGAATGTGTGCCATGACAGAAAGCGGCAGGACCTTGGTGTGACATGGTGCAGACTTTGTCCTCACCGCTAAACAAGCCGTGCTCTGTGCCCTGGGAGAAGCTGCAGGCACAGCAGTCTGTGGAAAGCTTTAAAACTCAATTTACCTGGTTCATCTCTGTTTCCCTTCAAGTTTGCACAACTGTCTCTTCCAACAGCAGTGGCAAGGTGTGAAACAAATCCCAGTGTACGCTCTGCAGAACTGCCTGGGCCCAAAGGCAGAGCCACGCTGCATCTACAGCCATCAGCAGGACGTGCTGTGGGAATGATGGGGCTTGTGGAGAACCAGCTAACCCAAGATGTGGAATGCTTAAGGGGAGCTGACGTGAGGCTGGGCCTGAGCAGATCGACTCAGCGAGGGGACATAGCTTGTTATCTCAGGACTGCTGCCGTAGTAAGGCTGTAGCAGCATTCCTGGGACACTGTGAAGTGCCTCTGCATGCCCTGCACTGTCCTGTGTGAAAGTGTCAGCTTGGGGCAGCTCTAGCTTGGACTGTCTGCCCTGTGCTCTTAGGTGCGATCAGTGATACAGGTCAGGACATTCACTGCGGTGAACATAAGGATGGTTGGGGGAAAGTAACATCAGTTTCATTTAGTCCTACAGGGGTTTAGCTCCTAGTGATAATTTGGAGCCTGCAATCTCCTGCTGTGTCTGTATCAGGAGCGGTGAAAGCCTCTGGCCTCGTTCCCACAGGCTGGACAGCTATGTCTCAAAGGTCACTGAAGTCCTGTGATGCCTGAGGACTTCTACAGAGCTGGGTGTGTCCTTCTGCCCCAAGCTTCTGGACTACTCCCATCCTAAGAAACTTCCCCCAAACTGACCACTGGTAATGCAACCTCAAGCTGGCCCTTGTAGTGTGCCTGGAGTCAGTTTCTGTTTTCCTTCCAGGCTCAATTTCTGCATACATTCCTGCACATCCCTTCTCCCACAGCACTCCCGCTGTGCTCAGAAGAGCAGAGATGATCTCCTGGATCACAGTACAACAGCCCTGGGCACCCTAGGGAGACCCTGAAGCCCTGCTGACACTTGGGGCTGGCACACTAGGCAGTGAGGAGGGAGCCGACCTGATTTCCAGCCCAGCTGCTTGTGCCTGGTAGCAGCACTGCAGTGCCAAGATCATTTTGATGCTGTTTCCTGTCCAGGATCTGGTAGTTCTGGCTGCCGGGCATTCCAGTTCTCATGCCTGTGCTCACACCTACACCAGCCTGCCTGTGGCCAAAGGACCCACTAAGTACCTGCTGTTTCTTTCTCTCCAACAGACATTACCCCCTATGAAAAACCACCCTATGCCCAATCTGCCAGCTGGACACTTTCAGAGGAGGCTGCTGTTGGACAAAGAAGCCAGCCGGGTGTGGATCAAACCAGAGCCTCCCAAGCCCATCCTCTTACACCTTGGTGTGACAGCCAGGTCCTACTCTATTGAGGACTTCTTCAGCAACTTCACCTCAGAGATCCCCAAATACTTCTTGTCCCGGTAAGAGATCCAGCTTTTTGGATTGGCATCTTCATCTGAGCCAGAGCTGCCCATGCTGTGATATGGACCGAACTTGGAGCTCTGCTCTGTTCCTCTCCAGTGTCTCAGTATTAGACAAGAGGTGTCTTGCTTTCCCCAGCATTAGCTGACGTGAGCTGTTTCTCTCCCTCCCTCAAAATGGAGATACTATCAGAGCTCAGTGCTCCCCTCTTATGACAGTGTCCCCACCGCTGTCACAAATGCCGCAGCTCCCACTCCTCCCCTTGTTCTCTGCACGATTCCCTACTTGCCTGCAGTGCTGCTGCTCTGCCAGGGGGATGCAGGTCTTTGGTAGTTCGGTGACACTGATGGAACAACTCCTTCTTTCTCAGCCCCTTCAGCGGCCGGCCCTTGGACAGCAAGTTTGTGTGTGGGAGTAAGGACAGAGACAGGATGGATGTGGAGCCCAAATGGCTGTCCCTGGCTTCTGCTTCCAAACAGGAGTTGCAGATAGTGACTGACATACTCACAGGTGTTATCAGGTGCGTGTCCCTTTATCTTCACCTGGTTTAGGAGCCCCTGTTCTCCAGGGGAGTGCATGGCCAGCCCTCTGCTAATCCCAGAGGAGTCTGTGCACTCCTGCTGCACCAGAACAGGGGATCCAGCCTGCCAAAGACTGCCCTGGGGACTACGAGCTCAGAAGTCCTGGTGTGACAGCCAAAGGCAGGGTCTTGCTCCCCAGCCAGAGGCTGGGCCCATCTCTGCATAGTGAACAGTGTCACTGCCCAGCAACCAGGGCACTCTGCCTGCTATGATCTTGGGAACAGGCTGCATTGGGATTCACCTATTTTGTCTGTCAGCTGCAGAAATGTAAAGAACCAGTGCTGGGGAGGCAAAGGTAGTTTCCTTAGCTCAAGCTATCTTGCTGCCTCCCTTAGGCCCAGAAAGCAAGAAGGCACAGACTAAACACTGACATCAGCCAGGGTTTTCCTCTGATTTGTACTGTCTTGTAATGATCCTCTGGGGTCATACAGATACCTGATTTGCTCGGACTTGTCCCTTATTTTCCTCCTCCCAGAGGCCTCCTGGAGAACACCCAGTTCCATGACGCAGTGAGAAGAAGCCTGGATGAGCCCATTCCATATTTTTCCCAGTTCCAGCGTGAAGAATCAGCAGAGCTCCAGGACAGGAGACAGTGCTCTATGGTCCCCTCCAGGGTCTCTGCTTTGCCAGATCATTACCCTGAGAAGGACGGAGAGAGGAAAGAATTGAGGCAGGAAGCGTCTCCCAACAATGACTTGCTGGAGTCTTGGGAGATTTTTCACCACGAGCAGTTGAGGGAGCAGAAGGAGATGATGAGCAGGTGAGGAAGATCTCACACATAAAGGCAAGAGCTGCATAGGCAGGAGAGCCATAGCGGCACACTGCTTGGCTAGAAACCCATTTCACCTTCAGCCCTGTGGCATTTCTGCTGGGGTGTTCTCTGTGCTCCAGGTGGAAATGGATGCTAGCCCACGTAGCCAGCCTCTCGTGAGTGCGGTTTGTGAAGAGCGCAGGTTTGCCGTGTTTTGGCATTGAGCTATGGGCAGTGCCAGGATGCTGGTAGTGAGCGAAGCCTGCTTCACACTCGGACAGTCCTGGCTGTATTAGACATTAGAGTGCAGTGTGTGCTCACCTTACCTTTTATTTTCACTGCAGTATTTCATCACCTTGCATTTACTGTGGCTACTCCCTTGCACACTGCTACAGGTCACAAGCATATGCACAAATACTAACTACAGCACAGCTTGGAGGGAGAAACCAGTAAAACCACAGTCACCCAGCTCTGTCGGAGGTCAGGGCCTGACGCCAGCTGGTGGCAGTTCTAGGAGAAGGGTCAGCACCCCATTGCTCAAGTCTTTGGTTCATTGGCCTCAACGTGTAGGAAACAGTGTGCGCTCCACTGCTGTGCCTGATGTGTCCTGGGAGGAGTCGCAGCAAGCAGCCTCCCTTATCTGCTTTCTGATAGCTGTCCTCTGCCTGTACTTTTGCCCCTCCAGGCAGCCGGCCCTTGGCACCCTGGTGGAGCTGGTGCTGGAAAACACACTGCAGAATATCCTGATCGAAGCCAGCCGTGGGGAGGTGGTGCTGACAGCCCGGCCCAGGGTCATTGCTTTACCCCCCAGCCCTTTCCGAAGGTAACAGAGCATATCTGTGCTGTGATGGGGCACAGGACCTGTCCTTAATATGTCAGGCTGAAGCACAGCCCGTTTTCTAGACCACGTGGATTAGCTGGATCGCTGCCTGTCAATGCCGAGGCTGCCTGTGCAAAAGGGGGAATCCACTCCCACAGCTTCTGCCCCTTCTTGGCTTGTCCTGACCCACAGAGCCTTTCTGTGGACCCGAGACCATCATGTAGCTCTGGGGCAGGGCCCTGTGAGTGAGCGGCTGGCAGAAGGGGCTGGCCTGGGGCACTGGAGAGGCCAGCACAAAGAGGGTCTCCTGGGAAAAAGAGGTCAAGGAACAGCGCAGCTTCTGACAGCAGAAAGGAGGCAAAGCTTTTGTACTCCAAGATGGTGGGGGATCTAGTTAGGTTGAGAGAATGGCCACTGGTGGGGAGGCAGATTTGGGGCTGAGGGCAAAGCACGAGGATTTGCCTCAGCCTGGGGAGAAGTGCAGGGAGATGGGATTGAGGGAGGATGGGAGAGCATTGTTGGATGGAGATGTCATCTCCAGAGCTGCAGGAGTCTTGTCTAGATAGACGATGGGTGCTCCCTGTGATCCCTCAGGGAGGGATGATTGCCTGGGGGGAGGCAGCAGCAGGTTTCACTCTCCTCACTCTAAAAGCAATCTCTCCTTCTTCAGAATCACCAGTTCAGCACCTCCACCTTCAAGAGCATAGCTGCTGGGCACCGTACTGCTTGAGCTCTTCAAGCACATCAACTGTCTCCACTCTTCATCCCGTCCTTGTGATGCCCAGAGCAACTCTGATCCTCCCACCCCATCACCTGAGCTCAGCATGGGCTGCCTCTGAGGAGGTATGTCCTGATGATGTCCTCAGCTCCAATTTGAATCCTCTGGCAACTCCACAGCAGAGTTCATGAGATCTCTCCTCTCTGTGTCCGGCCACATCATCGGAGAATCAGCTTTCTGTGTTACAGGGAGCACATGGACAACCTCTGTGACTGTTCCCGCTGCCCCCAGTTTGTACCAGCTGGGAGAGGAGTGGAATCTGCTTTGAAATATAGCTGAGGAAGAACTGACAGCTGGGCATTCAGGTGCTGGGCCCCTGCCAACATCAGTAGGACACAGGTACTGAATCCTCCTCCCCTCCTTGCTCCAGCGGCTGCTGCAGGTCCCACATACAGCAACCCAGCCCAAGAGAGCAGCCGCAGCACCATCTACCACACTCTGCAGCCCAATAAAAGCAGCTTGGCCTCTGGACACGCAGACACCGGCGTGTAACATATGTCATCGATGCGTCTGGGTTTGGGAGCACCCTGGACAAGCTGTTCACTTTTCAAACTGCAAACAGGCTGTCACTTGGGGAAGGGGATGCTTTGAGTCTTGACCTGACATAGGGGTCTGGCAGGCTGCGGGAGGGTGTCACTGTGAAGGACCCGGGTGTGTCACAGCCGGGAGGTGGCAGTGTGAGTTGTCGGAGATCCCAGGTGCCAGCGCAGAGCCGAGCCTGGTGCCGGGCACGGACTGCCTCCTCCCTCCGGCTGTGCCAGGCAGCGGGGCTGGGTGTGCAGCATCTCCCCTCTTCTGCAGCCCTGCTATGGGCTCTGCGACGTGGGGCTTCACCCAGCCACCCTGCTCTGGTGGGGATGCAGCTGGTGTCCCCCTCCAAACCCTCCTGCCCTGTGTTCCCAGTGCCACCGCCCAGCCAAGACCACAGCTGCACCTTCTCCCCTTGCAGCCCCAGAGAAGATCATGCACAAGGAGCTGCGGAGGGGAGGGCTTTGCCCTGCTTGGCAGAGGGGAGATGCCTGCTGTGCCCACGGGTGCTGCAGCTCAGGCAGCATCACCCCAGTGCTCCGCTGTCTGCAGGAGCCCTGTGTGTGTAACCGTTACTAAGCCCCAGGGCCGAGCTGTTCCTGTTGTCAGAGATATGGCAAAGGCACTGCCAGCTCCTGAGCTCAGCCTGGGTGCCTGGGGCCTTCACGTGGGTCCTTCTCATGAGAAGTACAGACCCTATCCTCCCTCCCCAACGCGCTGGGTGCCAAGTCTCCTACATCACAGCAGCTTTTCTGTCCTACTGTGGGCTTTGGCTGGTGATGAACAGGAGATGGGGTACCACCTCCTTCCTCCCCAGCTCAAAGAAGAAGCAGGCCCTGGCTGTTCAGTCCAGTTGGGGTGACTGTGCCTAGTCCAGGCTCCTCACTAGGATTTGCTCACTACAGATGCTCTGTAGTCCTGTGACAGGCTTCCCAAATGTGTAACATGGCAGGAGCATCATGATTGTCCTAAAGTAGGTTCAATCCAGCTGCCTGGAGGAGCCCAAGAGCGGGTTGGAGCAGTGGAGACAGGGTGAATGAGTTTGTCCATCCTCAGACCTGCTGCGTGATCTGATGCTCTCTGGACTGCGTCACCGTTAACTCCTCTGCCTTGTGGGACAGATAGGCCAACGTGGGAAATGCTGTGTGTCAGTCTGCTGTGACACCCAGGAGCGAATGGATGGAGCCTGACTGCAGACACATGTGCAGGGAATTATTTTTTTTTGTCATTAAAGCTCCTATCCTCCCCACTTTCCCATGCTGAATGCGGCCTGGACCTGGAGAAAAGGGAACTGGCACTGTACTTGCCTGTTGGAACACTATCAGAGGTAAATTCACTTCTTTTATTAGTGTCTCTCTAGTAGGAGAGAGCCTTTAGCAACCAATGAGTCATGGAATAAGAGATTTGAGACCTACCTACACCTCTGAGAGAGAAATCTTTCTTCCTTCTGCTCTTTGCGGGGGGGCTGAGATGGTGGTGTGTCACCTCTGTTCTAGGTCTCCTCTGGTGCCTGTCAACCAGAACCACTCAGCGTGCACTAAGCAAAGCCATTAGCAGCTGTCACACACTTTTCTGCTTTTATCCTCATCCCAAGTTAAAAATACACCAAGGACAGCCCCTTCCCCAGGTTGTGGAAATTCCTGTGTCCTCTTCTCAAGCTGGGAACTAGACCCTGACCCTGGTTTTCGAAAACACTCCCATGTATGACCGAGCCACACCGCTGGCCCTTTGGCAAAGGGAGTGGGAGACAGCAGCACCCCCAGGCACTGCTGGGGGTGAGCTCTGCAGAGTAGGGAGCCCACAGCCGTGCACTCACCCGGGGGCTTCAGTGCTTCCCTGCTGCTCCTCCCCACGCTTGAATCTTGGGGGCAGTGGTGAGGTGAAGGGTGCAGGGTGAAATGCGCAGGTCTGACAGGGAGGGTTTCTTCCTTAGCAAGAGGCTTTGTCGCTACCCACTGCCAAGGGTGAAGGCGATGAACCGTGGGACTGTCGTAGAGCCAGACCTACAGCCCAGCTCCCAGAAGAGGGGAGAAGCCCTGTCTCTGCTAATCATGTTTGGGTCTCAGACAGGAGGAAGTCTAAGCCTGTTGTACTGGCTCCTAGGGCTGGATTTGGCCCAACACCAGCCACATTTCTAACAACGTGCATCTCTCTAATGGACATATTGTAGATATGGGTCCTGCTTCTTCCCAGTGGTGTTCAGGCAGTGAAGTGGGGTCATGTTCCCATGGGGCTGGGGGTTTGGTGGGCAGGCTGCCGCAGGTACATGGTTGATGTGAGTGTGAACCTGGCAAAGTAACGGGGCTCCCCTCCTCCTTGTGCTCGTTATCAGGAGTGCTCAGTCATCAGGCAGTTAATGCAATGTACAACAGGCCTTTTCTTCTTGGCTGTTAGTCCTGGCTCCTAGGGAGGGGTGAAATGGCCTTGGGGCAGGTGGGCGACAGAAGCTATCCCGAATCCCATTAAAACATTTAACACCTGCTGAATCGTGCTATTGTCTGGGAGATAAAGGGAAGGGAACAAAGCTGCTCTTGGTCTTCCCTGCCAGGGTGTCTGCAAGGCTCTGCTGGGGAGCCTGAATTCCCTGCAAAGACCCACTTGGCCAGGCTCTGTGTCCATGTGGGGGAGGTGGCAGTGTTAAGGGACAGTCCCCTGGGCCCCTGCTGCAGATGTGCACTGCCCCTGGTTGGAAACAGCCCCTTCTCTCCCCATACTGAGTATTACTTGGAAACCTGGAAAGGTCCTGCCTCAACTAGCCTGCAGTGTCTGCGCAGGCAGGGCAAAGTCTGGAGAGCAAAAACGTGAAGGTGATCTTCCCATAACCCTTGGCAGAGCTGGGCAGAGACCCTTCATCCCTGGCCTCCCATGTCTGAGATACTGGGCTTTGCGGGCTCAGCTGTGTTGCTTTGGTATTTGGGAATGGGGACTTTTTAGTCCGTGCTCATGTCAGGCCAGCGTACATTGGTGGCTCCTGATGGACACGAGAGGTGCTCTGATGTGAGCCAGTCAGTCCTCATGGGACAGCGAGGCAGCACAAACCCTTGGCTGCTGCGAGAGGAGGCTGAGCCTGGCTGTGCTGGGACCAGCCCTGCTGAGTGCATGAGCAGGGGCTCAGTCCCAGCGCTGCCCGCTGCCAGGGCGCAGCACACGCTGGTAGGTGCTGCCTTGGAGATGCCATGGCGGGTGGAAGATGTTCCCCAGGAGAGCTGTCCAGTGCAGGGCACTCTGCAAGCTCATGGGAACTGCTTCTCTCCCATTTTCCGTAAGGCAGCCCTGCAAGGGCAGTCTTTGCTGTTACTTGGTGCATGGTGGGGCCCAGGACCTGTTAGGGGGAGAGAGCATTTCTGACACACCGTATAGGCATGGAGATGTCTGCTAGAACTACAGCAGGACTGATGTGGTGTTTGGGGTTTTTCTGGCTTCTCTGGAAAGGGAGCGGGCAGCCAGGCAGCCTACGCCAGGAGCTGCTGCTCTGCTCTGTCGGCGCGTGGCCCAGCAGGGAGAGGTGAGAGTCCTGCCCAGTGCGTTTCCCACATCAGGAAAGGACAGTGCGAGGCCTGGATAGCATCAAAAGGAGGGGGAACATCACATGTCCTCTTAGCACCACAACCCAGGGCAGTAGTGGTTCTGCATTTCCTTTGATGGCAAAACTACTGGAAAAGAGGATCAGGATGACCAAGGCCAGCAGGTTGGCATCACTCCAGCTCCTCCCGGTGCCAGGCTTGGGGGACCCCAGCCTGCAGAGGCAGCAGCAGGCAGGAGGGATGGAGCCTGCCTTTTGGAATCCTGACTGTGAAAGGGACAAACCTCCGAGGAAGAGGAGTTGGGTTGCAGTTGCTGATAAGGATCTGCCACTGTCCCCTTACTTTTGGGAATCCACTGCAACCTGCAAGCACACTCCAGCTCTGGGAAGAGCAATGGTGGCAGTTTCTAAAGCACACCCAGGACCAGGATACCTGCGAGTGTCCGCTGTGGGGGTTAAAGCAGCGTTACCCCCTTCCCCACCCACAAACACACCCATCTACACAAACAAACAGGCCAGTGCACTTGCACAAAGGAGCTTCTCCTGCCACTGCATCTGCACTTCATGGTCTGTTATCCAGGGAGCTGTGGGTGCCAGAGTAACCCAGAGAGATAGCCCAGTGCCTGCTGGCTCCAGCTGAGATCAGCTGAGGACTGTCCAGGCTGAGGAGCATGGCTGGGTGCTGCAGGAGTGTATCTGAGCTTCTCCTGGCCCCCCGTGGGCTCGGCACGCTGTCCCCAGAGCCAGCATGGGGGTGCCTGCACCAGTTACCTGCTGGGCAGCGACACAGCCGGGATGCGGGAGAGTACGGTGACTCTGGGATGCGGTGACCCCACAGGGAGGCATCTGCACATGGAGTCAAACACATCCTGTTCTTG